GGAGTGACACAGATATAGATAGCGTGATTCTGGAGGGGTGAATGCAGCTGCTGTGAGCTCGCCTGCGGTTTATCACAATAGCGTATAGTTGTGCACTCGGTAGCATTGGGGCCGTCTATAAATGACGTCACGCGATTTTGGACGATTTTTTTACCCCCCCCCCCCCCCGTCGTCACACGGCGTCACAAAAAGTCAGACCCCCCTGAAATATGACGTCACAAAGCTCTGCTCCCCCCCGCCCCCCCCCCCCCCCCCCCCAAAAACATATTTCCATTTTGAAAATAAAACATTTGTAGTGCGTATTTAATGTGGCGCTGCACTCTGATGTTGTAGGAGAAACATTTAATACAAAACGTCTATTCAATTAAGTAGAACGTGTTGTCTATGTTTATCTAAAGTTGCGCATTTTGATGTGACGTCACATTTCTCAACCCTCGCCCCCTCCCCTCGTCACACATCGTCACAAAAGTCTGACCCCCACCCCCCTCCCCAGGTGCGTGACGTCATTTATGGACGGCCCCATATGGGAACCTAAGACACACTTTTGCAGAGCCACGGGTAGGCCAGCTGCGTTGCTTTATTATTTTCATTAAGATCAGGCGATGGTGATCAGATCGGAGCCTCCGCGTACAAGGTCGAGAGGGGTCGGAGGCACGTCCCCGGTTTAGATTTGGGCGAATTTCGGACTGAGGAATTTGCCTGCGCTGTTGCCACGCTGCGGGTATCCTCTGATCGCTCATTGCAAATGCAGTAAATGTTTACCCGTTCTGAAGAGGGCCTTTTAAAATGAAGCGTTTGACGTCTCGCAAACCCGCGCACCCTACCTGGGTGTTCAGCATTTGTGGAGCCGCCCCCGCTTCTCCGGAGGACAGAACACAACTGTCTTTGGACTTTTCTATTTTTATTGTTGTTGTTATTGTTGTTGTCTATTTAGCCGATCTCCCCCCCCCTCCACACCTCGAAAGGATTCAAACGACGGGAGGAGAGGAGACAGGGCAGAACCGCTACACCGTCATAAATAGATGACGTCATTTCGATTTAAAGCTTTCGTGACTGCAGGGATTCATCTTCTTGGTTCTTTCGGTAAAGTGACGTTGAAGGGAAATAATAAAATAGGAAAAATAAAACAATACAATTAAATAAAATTGTTCCCTTCTATGTGACTTTACCGAAAGAACCAAAAAGATGATTAAGTCATGTGAGATCCATAACGCCGGGTGGTAAGGAACAAACAATACCTTTAAATTATCAGTTTAACACGTCGGCTTTCGCGACCAATATCATCCATAATATAAGTGTTTTTAGGTTAGATCGCGTAAATATATAAATGTGTCGTTAAACCCGCCCCCACCCGACACAGGCAACTAGAGTTGTCACGTGAACATATTGTTCGTTTCAAAGCAATACAAAAGTTACGTATACTCTGTTGTGCTGCTTACAATATTCTCCAGCAGCGAAATCGCATCATTAACACTCGAGTTTAAGAATACAAAGAGGCAAGTTGATTTAAAAAATATATAATACAGTATATTATTTGGGTCTTTCGGTAAAGTCACGTAGATAGGTTCAAAGAAAATAACAAAAATGTATTTTTAAAACTACGACGTTTCGATCGCAACACAAGATATATGAATTCCTGCAGTCACGAAAGCTTTAAGCCAAGATTTAAAAATATAATATTTTCAGAAGTTTCCGAAAAGCTTTCTATGATGTTTTTTTTAAATTCCCGGCGCGTAATTATAATATATTGGGGGGGGACACATCCCCCCAAGATTAAAATATGCTCAAAATGTCCCCCCCCCCCAATATATTGCTATAAAATAGATTTCTGTTTATATGATTGTGGTTATGGTTGTACTTTATTAATCTCTAACCTCTGAAATTACATACAATGAAACACGAAAAGAAAAAAAAACACAGCAATGTAATACTATACACTATTAGACATTATTGCAAAAAATAAATTAAAAGTTCATCCTATGTGTTAGTGAATTTTGTAATATTTTAGGCAGGAAATTCGTTTTCAAATTAAGATTTTTTCTGGGGGGGGGGACCCCCAAACCCCATGGTAGATTTGGTCCCCCCCAATATTGACTCCACGGCTTCGGCCTTGCTTGGAAGCCTATGGGCAACTCCTCCCGTACGAGTATATAGAAGGCGCGCGCGCTCCCAGCGACTTTGCTTTGTACACGCCGGGGCTGTCGGCAGTGAGATCGCAGAGCGAAGCCACGGACCTCCCCACCCACCACGTGAGACGATGTTTGCTCGCTGTTGGCTACGATAGCTGTGAGCTCATAGTCGGCGGTTGAACCGCGGTGGTCCACTCTCGTCAATCCATTCATGTGTTATTGCGATTATATGCTACGTTAGTAATCCGTTAATTAGTATGTATTTCCCCTATAAGGAATTGTAATGTGTATTATTTAATAATACGCTTCCAAGCCGCACTAACACACATTACAACTAATTACTAATCTACAACTCATTACTAATCATAATCATTGACTGATTACCAATCGATTATATAATTACAATACTCCCCCCTCCGCCTCAAATCACTGCACCTGAATGAGTTAAATGATGACGTCACCCTGCTGGTCTATTTAAGACCGGGAGCAAGTGAGGGCTTTACCATTCTGGCGAATTTCCCGATGATGCTGGATGTAATTACCAGCGAAACGTCGTACTCAAATTTGTCCTTTGTAAACGTGACACATTTTTTACTGTTTGGCCGTGTCGGGTGGTGGAGGGTTACGACACATTTATAAATAACGCGATCTAACCCAAAAACCTTCATTATGAACATTGATTATCCATTGATCAATCAAGGCCTCGTAAATTAGTCATTAACCAGTGACTAATCATTAATCAATTACTAATTTATGAATCGAGGCCTCGTTACGCCTCGTTCGCCAGTAATTGGCTGTCCTATAGACGAGGCCTCCACTATTCCACTTGGATTGTTCATGTTTCAAATGTTGCGTTTGTAATAGAGGCGGATTGGCGCATCGATTAATGATCGATGAGTACCATAGATTGATATCGGGCTCGGTGATCGCGAATCGATCGAGTTTAGATTCGTAAAGATGAATTACAATTAATCGATTGATAATCGATCTATCGATTAAGGGGCCGTCCATAAATAACGTTACGCACCTGGGGGGGGTGGTCAGATATTTGTGACGATGTGTAACGAGGGGGAGGGGTGAGAAATGTGACGTCACATCAAAATGCGCAACTTTAAATATAGAATTGTTATAACAACACTAATTATGATTCATTTTCATTATTAACTATTTGATTATTTAAAATTACTAAGGTCACCTTTTATTTATTCCAAGAAGGACATTTTGCTTCTCCATGGGAGAATGGAGAAGCATACATTTTGAACATTTTTTGAATGATTGTTATTAAACATTTTGATTCTACTGATTCTACCAGGGCTGTTCATTCTGTGGAATGAATATGTCATTGTTATAATTGTACTCTCCATTTCTTTAAATAGTTATAATTATATTCTTGGCTCTTTCGGTAAAGTCCCGTAGAAGGGAAACAATAAAATTAAAAAAATATAAAACAATAAAATTATAATTACGTTTAATATTCTATAATTATAAGATAATTTCAATATAATAGTCTGAAGATCTGCAGTTTTAGTTAGAAGTTGAATATTTTCAAGTGAATTTCATGCTAAATGTAAGCTTTCCAACGCCTCCTTCTTAATAAATGTTTTCTCCTACAACATCAGAGTGCAGCGCCACATTAAATACGCACTACAATGACAATAGTTTAAAGCGATTTGAAGCGTTGTGTGTTTTTTTGTGGGGGGGGGGCAGAGCTTTGTGACGTCATATATGAGGGGGGGTCTGACTTTTTGTGACGCCGCGTGACGAGTGGGGGGGGGTCAAAAATCGCGTGACGTCATTTATGGACGGTCCCGAACCAGCACCGGTCCGTGGATCGGATCGCGCGTAGTGGACGAGTTTAGATTCGTCAGCTTCCGCCTCAGGTATGAATCGATTAACAATCGATCCATTTCATAAGCGCCCACCACCCCAAGCTCCGTAGATCGGATCGGTTCGCGCGTCGTGGACGAGTTTCGATTCGTACAGAATCGCTTCTCAGGTAAAGAATCGATAGACAATCGATTGCTCAATTTCATAAGGCCCCCCGCCCCTGCCACCAAGCTCCTAGGGATCGGATCGGATCGCCGAGTTTAGATTTCCGTGCGAATCGCTTTCTCGACCCGCTTCTCACGTGACCGCGTGGTGGCGGCGATCACGTGATCCCGCGGGCACCAGAACGGGCTCGGCATGGCGGCTCAGTGAGGCGCAGAGAGAGGCCGGCAGGGAGAGAGAGTCGGGGAGAGAGTCAGGGAGAGAGAGTCGGGGAGAGAGAAGGGAGAGAGTCAGGGAGAGAGAGAGGCCGGCAGGGAGAGAGAGTCAGGGAGAGAGAGTCAGGGAGAGAGTGCGGGGAGAGAGTCAGGGAGAGAGAGTCGGGGAGAGAGTCGGGGAGAGAGTCAGGGAGAGAGAGTCAGGGAGAGAGTGTCAGGGAGAGAGAGTCAGGGAGAGAGAGTCAGGGAGAGAGAGTTGGGGAGAGAGTCAGGGAGAGAGTCAGGGAGAGAGAGCGGGGAGAGAGCGGGGAGAGAGCAGGGAGAGAGTCGGGGAGAGAGTCAGGGAGAGAGAGTCGGGGAGAGAGTCAGGGAGAGAGAGCGGGGAGAGAGTCAGGGAGAGGGTCAGGGAGAGAGTCAGGGAGAGAGAGTCGGGGAGAGAGTCGGGGAGAGAGTCAGGGAGAGAGTCAGGGAGAGAGAGCGGGGAGAGAGTCAGGGAGAGAGAGAGGCCGGCAGGGAGAGAGTCAGGGAGGGAGGGCGGCCGGCAGGGAGAGAGAGCGGGGAGAGAGTCGGGGAGAGTCAGGGAGAGAGCGGGGAGAGAGGGAGAGTGAGAGGCCGGCAAAAAGGGAGTCGGGGAGAGAGAGAGGCCGGCAGGGAGAGAGAGCGGGGAGAGAGTCAGGGAGAGAGGGGCCGGCAGGGAGAGAGAGAGCGAGGAGAGAGAGCGGTGAGAGGGTCGAGGAGAGCGGGGAGAGACTCAGGGAGAGAGTCGACGGCAGCGGTTACAGCCTTGCAACAACCACTCCTTGAATAGCAAGAGAGAGAGACCCCTTCCTGTCCCTTACACAGAGAGAGAGAGAGGGGACACCGGGAGTGAGAGTCCAGGGGCGGTGGGGGAGACGTGGAGAGTCGAGCGGAGAGCGTTACAGCCTTGCAACAACCACTCCTTGGATAACGAGAGAGAGTCTCGTACACACACAGAGAGAGAGAGTCTCGTACACACACACAGAGAGAGAGAGGGGACACCGGGAGTGAGAGTCCAGGCGGGAGAGAGTCGAGGTGGGTACAGCCTTGCAACAACCACTAACCCCCACCACCTCCTGCTGGAATAGCGACCGAGAGAGAGAGAGAGTTTCCTCACCTCCACACACAGCGAGCGAGTTGGAGGCTCCGTCGCCATGAACTCTGAGAAGGAGCTGGCTCCCCTCACGCCGGCCATCGTCCGCGCACTCAACGACAAACTCTACGAGAAGCGCAAAGTGGCGGCCCTGGAGATCGAGAAGTGAGTGATGGTGGTGGTGGTGATGGTGGTGGTGGTGATGATGGTGGTGGTGATGGTGGTGGTGATGGTGGTGGTGATGGTGGTGGTGATGATGGTGGTGGTGGTGATGGTGGTGGTGGTGATGGTGGTGGTGAAGGTGGTGGTGGTGGTGGTAGTGGTGGTGATGGTGGTGGTGGTGTTGGTGATGGTGGTGGTGGTGGTGATGGTGGTGATGGTGGTGGTGATGTCTCGCCTCCCGTTGGGGGTCGGGAGTGGTGCGGTGCGTGCTGATGTCTCACTAAGGTGCTGTGTCTCACTAAGGTGCTGATGTCTCACTAAGGTGCTGTGTCTCACTAAGGTGCTGTGTCTCACTAAGGTGCTGTGTCTCACTAAAGTGCTGTGTCTCACTAAGGTGCTGATGTCTCACTAAGGTGCTGATGTCTCACTAAGGTGCTGGTGTCTCACTAAGGTGCTGATGTCTCACTAAGGTGCTGATGTCTCACTAAGGTGCTGTGTCTCACTAAGGTGCTGTGTCTCACTAAGGTGCTGATGTCTCACTAAGGTGCTGGTGTCTCACTAAGGTGCTGTGTCTCACTAAGGTGCTGTGTCTCACTAAGGTGCTGTGTCTCACTAAGGTGCTGATGTCTCACTAAAGTGCTGTGTCTCACTAAGGTGCTGATGTCTCACTAAGGTGCTGATGTCTCACTAAGGTGCTGTGTCTCACTAAGGTGCTGATGTCTCACTAAGGTGCTGTGTCTCACTAAGAAGGTGCTGTGTCTCACTAAGGTGCTGTTGTCTCACTAAGGTGCTGATGTCTCACTAAGGTGCTGTGTCTCACTAAGGTGCTGTTGTCTCACTAAGGTACTGTGTCTGACTAAGGTGCTGTTGTCTGACTAAGGTGCTGATGTCTCACTAAGGTGCTGATGTCTCACTAAAGTGCTGTGTCTCACTAAGGTGCTGATGTCTCACTAAAGTGCTGTGTCTCACTAAGGTGCTGATGTCTCACTAAGGTGCTGATGTCTCACTAAGGTGCTGTGTCTCACTAAGGTGCTGATGTCTCACTAAGGTGCTGTGTCTCACTAAGAAGGTGCTGTGTCTCACTAAGGTGCTGTTGTCTCACTAAGGTGCTGATGTCTCACTAAGGTGCTGTGTCTCACTAAGGTGCTGTGTCTCACTAAGGTGCTGTGTCTCACTAAGAAGGTGCTGTGTCTCACTAAGGTGCTGTGTCTCACTAAGGTGCTGTGTCTCACTAAGAAGGTGCTGATGTCTCACTAAGGTGCTGTGTCTCACTAAGGTGCTGTGTCTCACTAAGAAGGTGCTGATGTCTCACTAAGGTGCTGTGTCTCACTAAGGTGCTGTGTCTCACTAAGAAGGTGCTGTGTCTCACTAAGGTGCTGTTGTCTCACTAAGGTGCTGATGTCTCACTAAGGTGCTGTTGTCTCACTAAGGTGCTGATGTCTCACTAAGGTGCTTTGTCTGACTAGGGGTCTGTCTCACTAAGGTGCTGATGTCTCACTAAGGTGCTGATGTCTCACAAAGGTGCTGTGTCTCACTAAGGTGCTGTGTCTCACTAAGAAGGTGCTGATGTCTCACTAAGGTGCTGTGTCTCACTAAGGTGCTGTGTCTCACTAAGAAGGTGCTGTGTCTCACTAAGGTGCTGTTGTCTCACTAAGGTGCTGATGTCTCACTAAGGTGCTGTTGTCTCACTAAGGTGCTGATGTCTCACTAAGGTGCTTTGTCTGACTAGGGGTCTGTCTCACTAAGGTGCTGATGTCTCACTAAGGTGCTGATGTCTCACAAAGGTGCTGTGTCTCACTAAGGTGCTGATGTCTCGCCGGGGTTGTCTGAATGAGATGTGTCACACCGGGGGTCTTGTCTGACTAGGGTCTGTCTCACTAGGGGTCTGTCTCACGAGGTGTCTGTCTCACTAGGGGCTGTCTCACGAGGTGTCTGTCTCAAGGGTGTCTGTCTCACGAGGTGTCTGTCTCACGAGGTGTTTGTCTCACGAGGGGTCTGTCTCACGAGGTGTCTGTGTCACGAGGTGTCTGTCTCACGAGGTGTCTGTCTCACGAGGTGTCTGTCTCACGAGGGGTCTGTCTCACGAGGGGTGTCTGTCTCAAGGGTGTCTATCTCACGAGGTGTCTGTCTCACTAGGGGTCTGTCTCACGAGGTGTCTGTCTCACGAGGTGTCTGTCTCACTTGGGGCTGTCTCACGAGGTGTCTGTCTCACGAGGGGTCTGTCTCACGAGGGGTCTGTCTCACGAGGTGTCTGTCTCACGAGGTGTCTGTCTCACGAGGGGTGTCTGTCTCAAGGGTGTCTATCTCACGAGGTGTCTGTCTCACGAGGTGTCTGTCTCACTAGGGGCTGTCTCACGAGGTGTCTATCTCACGAGGTGTCTATCTCACGAGGTGTCTGTCTCACGAGGTGTCAGTCTCACGAGGTGTCTGTCTCACGAGGTGTCTGTGTCACGAGGTGTCTGTCTCACGAGGTGTCTGTCTCACGAGGTGTCTGTCTCACGAGGTGGCTGTCTTACTAGGGGCTGTCTCACGAGGTGGCTGTCTTACTAGGGGCTGTCTCACGAGGTGTCTGTCTCACGAGGTGTCTGTCTCACGAGGTGTCTGTCTCACGAGGTGTCTGTGTCACGAGGTGTCTGTCTCACGAGGTGTCTGTCTCAAGGGTGTCTGTCTCACGAGGTGTCTGTCTCACGAGGTGTCTGTCTCACGAGGGGTCTGTCTCACGAGGGGTCTGTCTCACGGTGGATCTTGTCTCACGAGGTGTCTGTCTCACTAGGGGTCTGTCTCACGAGGGATATTGTCTAACTAGAGGCTGTCTCACGAAAGGGGTCTTGTCTCACGGGGGGGGGGGTCTCAAGACATCTGGCCCATCATGTGCTCTGTTCAAAAGTCACCGTGGTCATATTAACCTGGTCATACAAGGGTGCAGGTCTCCTGATCTTCATCTATCAGACCTCTGACAATGGTCGAAAATCCAAATTGGTGTGATCGGGATGGGTTTGTCCCTATGAAGACAACCACCGTTGACTTCTCAGTGATGCATATTTATTTCTTTGAAAATCAAGTCGGCGCACGAATGCATACTTGTCAACCCATACGGTTTACCCCGTATTCTTATACAGGGAAATTGAATTTTCAGGTCCCTACGGCGTACAACCGTTTCAATACGGGCAACATTATTTTTGTCTTTGTGTTTCTCCCTTGTGATCTGGCTTTGAAGGAAGAAGAACATTGAGATTTATAAGGGCCACAGGGTGACCAATAAGGTTTTGAATTGGTCTGTAATAAGGTAGGCACTAATAAGGGGTTGCCAGGTATGTAGTAGTGTCGTGTCTAGTATCATACCTGTCAACCCATACGGTTTTCCCGTATTCTTGTACAGGGACATTGAGTTTTCAGGTCCATGCGGCGTACAAGCCGTTTCAATACGGGCAAAACTTTTTTGTCAATTGGTTTGTGTTTCTCCCTTGTGATGGGACTTTGTAGGATGAACGTTGAGATTTATAAGGGCATCGGGTGACCAATCTTGATTTGAAGCTTTCGTGACTGCAGGAATCCATCCATACTCTTTGGTTCTTTCGGTAAAGTCACGTGGGTAGAAATTAAATAAATGTGATTTTATGTTATTTCTACCTACGTGACTTTACCGAAAGAACCAAAGAGCACGGGGTGACCAATAATGTCCGAATTGGTCTGTAATAAGGTAGGGCACTGATAAGGGGTTGACAGGTATGTAGTAGTGTAGTGTATAGTAGTGTAGTATATAATGTATTTATATTGGAGTTTATATTTAGATAGATCCTTTATTGTCATTGTCACCAGTACAACGAAATTGAAAGTGTTCACCAGTCAGTGCATCATTCAGAAATTTAAATAAATAAAACGAGAAATAAAAATAAAATAGAAAATAATCACTAAATTTTATATATAAAAACTGTCCAAGTATATCCACATACCCACATAAAGGTACATTTTGTCATTGCACATCCCTATTTTACAGTCAATTGTAAACAGTATTACTTAATAATTAATAAGCAGTATTGAGTGTGGTAATTGCTGTAGGATGAAAAGCTGTGTTTGAATCAGTTTGTCCTTGTTTTGACTGATCTGAGTCGTCTGCCTGATGGCAACAGCTCAAACAGAAAGTGTCCAGGGTGAGAAGAGTCCTTTATAATGTTCTGCGCTTTTTTGATGCAACGGGAGCTGTGTAATTCTTCCAGTGTGGGGAGAGGGCAGCCGGCAATTTTTTGGGCCGTGTTGATGACCCTCTGCAGCGCTTTCCTCTGAGCCACTGTGCAGCTGGTGTACCATACACAGATGCAGTATGTAAGAATGCTCTCGATGGAGGCTCGGTAGAAGGACACCAGCAGTTTCTGTGTGATGTTATTCTTCCAGAGTATTCTCAGGAAGTAAAGTCTCTGCTGGGCCTTTTTCAGTAGCTCAGAGGTGTTGGCGCTCCAGGTCAGGCCCTCCCCAATGTGGGACTCCCAGGAAGCGGAAGTCTGCCACCCTCTCCACACAGTCCCCGTTGATGGTTAGTGGTGGAGTGTCCGTTTTCTTTCTCCTGTAGTCTATTATGAGCTCCTTGGTATTTGCGGTGTTAAGGAGCAGGTTGTTGCCCCTGCACCATGCTGTCAGCCGCTCCACCTCGTCCCTGTAGGCAGACTCATCCCCCCCAGAGATGAGCCCCACCACTGTGGTGTCATCAGCAAACTTCACGATGGTGTTACTATGGTGGACGGGGGCACAGTCACGTGTGTAGAGGGAGTAGAGCAGGGGGCTCAGTACACAGCCCTGGGGGGAGCCAGTACTCAGGCTCAGGTCCGTGGATGTATGACGGCCCACTCTGACCCTCTGTCTGCGGCCCAAGAGGAAGCTATGTATCCACATGCAGGTGGAATGTGGAAGCCCCAGGTCGCCCAGTTTTACCACCAGTTTATGTAGGAGGATGGTGTTGAACGCAGAACTGTAATCCACGAAGAGCATCCGCACATAGCTCCCCCGCT